TTGTATCCTGCTACTTCATTGAATTTTTTATTTTATTAATTTTTGGTGTGTTCGTTATGGTTTTCCATATAAGTATCATGTCTTCTGAAAATAGTGGCAGTTTTAATAGTACCTTTCCTATGTGGATGCTTTTTATTTCTATTCCTTTTTTTCTTTTTCTTTTTTTTTTGTCTGATTGCTGTGGCTAGGACTTCCATGTCGAATAAGTGTGGTGAAAGTGGAGAAAACCTTGTTTTATTCCTGGTCCTTCTATGCCTGGTCTGTTGAGAGGTTTTCTTTTTATCAGAAATGGATGTGGAATTTTGTCAAATGCTTTTTCTTCCTCTATTGAGATAATTATATACTTTTTATTGTTGAGTTTGTTGATAAAAAAGGTAAGAGATCGTATTTATCACATATGACCAAACAATCTTGAAGTAAGGCAGGACTACACTTTAAGACAGAATTTAGTCCAAAACTGTTAACATTTTGAAGAAACTTCTTGAGTGCCTACTCTTTTGTCCAAGGGAAAAAGCAAATTGTTTTAGTGTTAAAATCTAATAAAATAGAGAAAAAAATGCTACGAAAGAAATCGCTTTTCTTGGGACCAATGCTAAGAAAAAGGAGACCCTATGATGCAAACTAAATAGGCTTTGCTAGATCATAATAAGTACAATTAACAACATGTGATATCTCAAACCCTGGGCAGGGCTTTGCCAAAATTAACATCACTGTTATTAATATTTAAATGTAAGTCTATTTCAAAAAAGTCAGTGTTTTCTAGACACATGCCTCTCTTTCCCCTATATAACTTCAATGTAAAGAGGGACTTAGTAACTTCAAGGTTATTGTCAAATACATGACTGACAACTCAGGTCATTTTTTAATTGTGCCTCCCTTTGACAATGCTCCAAATGAATGCTGAAATAAATGTTTTAGAAATAGTTTATAGAATCTAAATGATACCACAATATTGAATATTTAAGAAACAGTGGCTATTTTCTCAGTAGTTCTAGGCAGCCTATAGCGAACAAAGAAACTCTTTAATGGAATGAAAGTAATTTATTATAGTACCCATTATATATATATATATATATATATATATATATCTTGAGAATATTAAATTCATTTTTTTACCATTTTCTAAAATAATATCTCTGTGGTTTTATCCATTTGAAACTCTGTCCCTGCATTTCTCTGGCCCCAAAAGGTATCAATAACAATAGGAACCAAATTAAAAATTCAAAATAAAAATCAGGTTGGCTTTTGATACATCTGGCAGTGGTAAAGCTCAGAAATAATTTTTTTGTCTTTTCTTCAATCTACAGAATAAACAGCTTTTATTTCATCAGTTTTAAAATCCAATGTCGTTGGAACTATTTTTAGTCCTTACCGGCACTCTATGCGTTTTCTGGGCAACGGTACCAGATTTATAGCCGTGGAAGTGCTGCGTTATTTATTACCTTCCAGTAAGCAATGAACTGATGTCTTGCACATGCATATGTGAACAATGTTACAGCGTGGGGCGATGGATCAGTGAATTCTTTCCCAGAACAATAAGCGAAGATACAGCTTTTAATTGGGCAATGCCTGTGTTTTATTCATCTGCAACAGCAACTTTCTCTTCTTTGGTTTTTACAAATCTCTACCCAAAAAAAAAAAATTAAAGTCTCAGATGAGCTTAACATCTTGCTTATTTCAGCAGTTTTTGTCCTGGGTTTGCATACTCAAAGCTTTATTTTAGAATTTTGGAAAAAATCTCATTCAAAAATGAAAGTAAGCCTTTTGCATTACATGAGGTTATTAGAAAGTCCATAAATTTCTCTTAATCTGAACTGGAGTTGGTCATTTTGTGTACTTAATATCAATGTCTTTTAAGATGTCTCAGGTGAAGATAAAAAAAGAAAAAATAAAATAAATGAAAAACCAGAGTCAACAATTGTAGCAGTTTCCTATTCCTACACAGACTGTGAATTAAAAACAAAAACAACCAAACTCTACCCTTTTTCCTTTTGTCTTTGGGAATAGCAATTATCCTTTTTAAAACCTGCATTTTTCATCAACAAATGCTCATTGGATGCGTTTGTTGAATATGCAGATGCTATGCTCTTAGAGATTATGAATGTAAACACAGCTTGATGCTGTGGTACAGTATAGTCCCACCCACTAGTGTATAAAGGCTTCGTTAAGTAAATTACTGCGTGGCCCACACATAGGAGTGATACCTCGTGATGTCACCAAAGGGTGACCTGACTGTCCAAGGATTTTCTCAGGTCCAGTTTGCCTTTCTAAACAAGGGGCAGTCATTTTGAGTAGGTTTTGAATTGAGAATAGCACCGGTCAATTACGCGTATCTAGGGCCTGTCCATGCTCAGCGAGCAGGGTGATGAATTAAGGAGACATGTCAGCGCGCCTTTATTTCCCCTTTGCGGCTCCCCTGGTGTCCTCACATCATGATGGGCTGCATTTTTTGTTGGTTTTTTGGTTTGTTTATTTGTTTTTATCGCTTATACTAACCGCCATGGGGCAGAACTACCGTTGGCTCCGCTCCTGAAAGAGACGAGACAGAGGAGCGGCCTGGGAGGGAGCTTCAGCGACAATGGCAGTCAGCTTGCATTGGCGTCACACTTACATATCTCACCAAACTGTATTGAAAATTATGTCGGTCTTCCTGCGGGCAGCTCCTCCTCACGTTCATTGGACAATATGGACTTTTCAGCACGTAAACCAGCGATCACCTGACTGGACAGAATTTTGTATTACATTCAAAACGTGTTCCAACTCAGTAGCCACTAGCCATACGGAGCTGTGAGAACTTTTAAATGTGGCTAGTGAGACCGAAGAGCAATTTTTAGGTTTGATCTATGTTTAATTAATTAAAATGTCAGTTTCAATACTTGCGGCTAATCGCACAAGGCAGACATAGAAAACAGAAGAGCAATAGGGAAATTATCCGTCATCTGACCTGTGTATTTTATTATCACCATGGAAATTTGAAAATCTATTTTTTAACATGACTGTCATTTCACATAAAATAATTAAAAGGCAATAAATATGCTCCTCTTGGATTTTTCAAGCGACATAACCTTGCCTTCATTTGCGTGGGAAAGCGAAGGTCAATTCCAAATTCAGGGACATGTTCAAGACCGAAAAATTGGGACAACTAACAGAATAAACAGGGATTTAAAAACAGACTGAAATCTAAATATACAAACAAAATACAAAAATACATGAAATTAAAAATTAAAATGAGCATATTCTTTTTCTCCAGATGTAATCTCCTCATAAATTACACAGCTGGGTCTAAACATCAAGGACTTAAAAGAATTTTCTTAGCCTTTTTGTACTATATTATATATGCTAGTTTCCCCTTGTATAACCCCTGAGAACACTCTATAATCTCCCTTTATAGCTCTTATTAAAAATGTAATTATTCCCTTAATACAAATCTGTTAATATCAATGTCGTCATTAAATGCTTACATTGTTACTGATTTTCTCTCACCTTAGCTAGAATTTAATTTCCATTACATTACTGAAATGTGTTTACACCCCATCATACCCCAGTATGGTGCCATATATGAATGAGTGACCAATATTGGCATGCTAACAAGGAACAAGAATTTTTATGAAGCGTGATTGATAAACTCTTCTTCTACTCATAAAGGAGATATTCTAGATTTGAACCTCTCTAAAACCCTTTTGAAATATAATTTACAAGAATCAAATTATCATTAATCACTAATTTATTTAGATTGAATCATAATGATAAACATTTAATATCTTTGTTATAAGAATCTTTAAAAATACATTGCTGAAGGATAGGTTGCAGTTTGCTGGTTTTCACACTTGTAAGTAAATGTGACGTAGCCAGTGTTTCTGTTGCTATATACTTTATTCACAGAAAGGCAGATGTTATTGGCTTATATAAATAAAATATTACAAGATGTTCCTTTGAGCTGTTTAAAATGAAAACAAGATACAAAGACACACAGGTTACTTCATACGATCTTGCGAGCTAACTAAAGTGAACAACAGGGAAGAGATCTCTATTCATCTGTGCACAGCCTCTCTTATTGCAGTTCAGAGAGGGTACTTTTAAAATTTTTTTCTTTTGATAAATTGGACATTATCCCAGTAAGGTATTTGACTATTTAAAAAACCCATGAAGAGGATGAGACCCTTTTTGTGCTGACAAACTGTAGCACGTAAGAGAGCCTGTGCAGACCGATTATGTTAGAACTTTGCACTGAGTGGTGCAATCACGAGAGAGACTTCTGTAGAGGCTCCATCGTTTGCTTCAGGGGCAGGAAGGTCACGGCGGCATTGTTTCCAACTGGACATTGTGGCGTGAAGCTTCGGTCCATTCTGCCTCCTCATTTAAAACACAAAGTTCAGTAACGTGTTTGATCTTCAAGAACAGTTCCTTTTTGACAGCTGTTCTTCTAGAAAGAGGAAATTCTGTGTATTTTACACACGGTTATAGTCTGGGAGTTTTGTTTTCTCACTTGAGCAGAGGTTTTAGCTGTATTTATTAGATGCAATACATGTGCTACCATCTTGGGCGTGTGTTTTATACTGGAGCGTTACTTTTGGGGGCAAAAAGTATCTGCACTACTGAAATCTACAGTAAAATATGTAATTCATGTTGAGTAACCATGGTTAATACACGTATAACTTCATGCACCATGTGATGCTTTGCAACAATTCTTAAAAGTTCTCCATATTTCTCTTGGAAAACTTGAGTAGTTTTATGAATAAATGACTTACGTGCATTATCATAAAATGATACAACCTGAAAAGCCCTCAGAACATCTTCTAGCAAAACTCTTCATTTGAGCGATGCCCAGAGATAATTAAGCTTATGGGCATAATACTGGCCCTAGGCACAGTCAGGACCTCACACTCGAGTCTTCTGACATCCCTGTCTGAGCTAGTCCTGTATCACGTGCGTTGGAGTTTTCGAAAATCAATCTCATCACATAATAACGTGTGTCGAATGTCTCGTTGTGTATTTTCCAGCCTCCAGACGTTTTTGGGCTCGGCATCATCGAAACACCGGAAGGACAAAAGATACCACAACTGATAGTCCTCAAGGAGCTGGACAGAGAGCAGAAGGATATGTACGTCATGAAAGTGAAGGTGGAAGATGGCGGCTCTCCTCAGAGGTCCAGTACCGCCATTTTGCAAGTGACCGTGGCCGATGTGAACGACAACCACCCAGTGTTCACGGAGAGCGAGATCGAAGTCAGTATACCAGAAAACGCTCCCGTGGGGACCTCGGTGACGCAGCTCCACGCCACAGACGCCGACATAGGCGACAATGCCAACATTCACTTCTATTTCAGCAGCCTCGTCTCCAACATCGCCAAGAGGCTGTTCCACCTGAACACGACCACCGGACTTATCACAATCAAAGAGCCCCTGGATAGGGAAGAGTCACCGAGCCACAAGCTGCTGGTGATGGCAAGCGACGGCGGGTTGTCGCCCGCCAGAGCGATGGTGCTGGTCAACGTTACAGATATCAATGATAACGTCCCGTCGATCGACGTACGATACATCATCAACCCCATCAACAACAGTGTGGTTCTCTCGGAGAACGCTCCGCTCAACACCAAAATCGCTCTCATAACTGTGACGGACAAGGACGCCGACCAGAACGGCAGGGTGAGGTGCTTCCTGGACCAGGAGATCCCCTTCCGCTTGAGGCCAGTGTTCAGCAACCAGTACCTCCTCGAGACGACCGCCTACCTTGACTATGAGTCCACGAAACAGTATATCATCAAGCTGCTGGCCACGGACGCCGGCAAACCTCCTCTGAACCAGTCATCCATGCTCGTGGTCAAACTCAAAGACGAAAACGACAATGCTCCGGTCTTTACGCCTTCTCTCATCAGTATTTCTGTTCCCGAAAATAACCCTCCTGGCTCCCAGCTGACCAAGATCAGCGCGACCGATGCAGACACCGGGCGCAACGCCGACATCAGCTACATGCTGGACGTGGATGCCCCGACGGAATTCCAGCTGGACCACCGCACGGGCATTCTGACCGCGGTGAAGAAGCTCGATCGGGAGAAGCAGGAGAAATACTACTTCACAGTTTGGGCGCAAGATAACGGCATTCCGCCCTTACAGACCAATGCCACGGTCTCGGTGACCGTGCTCGATCAAAACGACAACAGTCCATTTTTCACTCACGAAGAGTACAATTTCTATGTCCCAGAGACCCTCCCTAAACATGGCACAGTAGGACTCATCACTGTAACTGACCCCGATTATGGCGAAAATTCTGCGGTCACTCTGTCCCTTGTGAATGTGAGTGACGAATTCACCATCGACTCGCAGACTGGAGTCATTCAACCGAATATTTCGTTCGATAGAGAAAAACAAGAATCGTACACGTTCTACGTGAAGGCTGAGGACGGTGGTAGGGTATCCCGTTCTTCCACGGTCAAAGTGACCATAAATGTGGTCGATGTCAACGACAACAAACCAGTGTTTGTCGTCCCTTCTTCCAACTACTCCTTCGAGTTGGTCGAACCGTCCACGGAACCAGGCACGGTGGTCTTCACGGTCCTTGCCGTGGACAACGACACCGGCATGAACGCGGAGCTTGAATACAGCATCGTCGGAGGAAACATGAGAGAGCTCTTCGCAATTAACCAAACGACAGGCGACATTACAATGGAGGAGAAATGCAGGCTCACGGACCTGGGTTTGCACAGACTCGTAGTCAAAGCCCAGGACTTCGGGCAGCCGACGCCTCTCTTCAACGCCATAGTCGTCAATCTGTTTGTGAATGAGTCCGCGACCAACGTCACGCTGATCCGTGAGCTGGTGCGCAAGAACATCGAAACATCGATAATCCAAAATGTTGAGACGGCCGATGTCGCCCCCCCGGCCAGTGACTACACCAAGATCGTGGCCGCCTCCGTGGCCAGCACCCTCGCCCTCATCCTCATCATCGCTGTCATCATCATCGTCCACTGCCGCCGCCGGTCCCCACGCTCGAGGGCGTCTCAGAAGAGCAGGCAGAATTCCGAGTGGGCTACGCCCAACCCAGAGAACAGGCAGATGATCATGATGAAAAAGAGGAGGAAGAAGCAGCCCCCTCAGACCTTGCTGCTTAACCTTGTCACGATCGAGGAGCCGAACGCGGACGACACTGACAATGATGGACCCAGCGTGACCCTGGACCTTCCCCTTGAGCTGGAAGAGCAAACCATGAGCAAGTACAACTGGAGCAGCACCCCTACTACGTTCAAGCCCGACAGCCCCGACTTGGCCCGGCACTACAAGTCTGCCTCGCCGCAGCCCGCCTTCCAGATCCCGCCGGAGACGCCCCTCAGCTCAAGGCACCACATCATCCAGGAGCTGCCTCTCGACAACACCTTCGTGGCCTGCGACTCCATCTCCAGCGGCTCCGACCCCTACAGCGTTTCCGAGTGCAGCCTCCCGCTGACCACCTTCAAGGGCCCCGTGGCTGTGCACGCCAGACCGGTACGTATCCCCGGTTTCTAAGCTGCCTAACTTGATTTCATCATTTTACTTATTTTGAAGTGGAGGTAGAGCTTCATAGAATCTATGAACTCAACAAGGGATCAAAAGATCAGGCTCTGCCGCAGGAGCCAAATAGATACACGCATTCGCTTGAAGTTGGGTAGAAGAGGACAACAGAGAACTCTTGACTGTAGGAAAATTGGGTCAGAACCGGGACTAGTATCGGGCCAGGGTTGTCTGTGGGTGGCGGCATGACATATCTTGCTAGAGAATACACGGGAAAAAGTCCAAGCCCACGCAAGGAATGCAGACTCTCCTTTCCAGATTAGGTTAATGGACTGGGCGTTTCAGATTATTCTGGTTCCTAAAATCTGCATTCACACAATGTACCAAGAATGGGGTTGGAGAAATGGCCTCCCAGCTCACTCTCATCTCCAAGCCAGAGAGTGACATAGATATAAGATCTCTAGTTTAGATATTCATCTCCATATTTGCATATTCATGAAAGGTGTTGAGAGCACTTCAGGACACATTCTTGAAAGGGAATGGCTTGTGGAAAATGAAATATGTTTGCTTTCTCTAACGGGCCTGAAGGAGAATGGGGGCATAGGGAGACCCAAGAAATCTGTGTACAAGAACTAAAAACCCCAAACAAATGCACGAAAAGAGTTTATAGGGTGTTCTTTTACATGGATCCCACGGACAAGAGAAATGAATAGAATGTCTAGAAATTCGTAAGTACATTAAATGATTTAAATATAGTTATTAATAAAGTCAAGGGATGGAATGTATCTACTTTTTTTCCCTCAAAGCCATGCGTTGACTTCATTATTGTCTGTCTTACTCTGGACATGTCACCGTCAGCGATGGAAAGCTTTGGAAGCCATTCAAGGATGTGCATAGTTTACTGACACAATAACATTCATTTTTCCCTCTTAAGCACACAGTGAAGGTAAGATACGAAGTAAGGTATGGGCGCATGTGTGTAACTATACGTCCATAGTTTTGCTGTTGTCGATGATAAAATAGAACCGTGAGTCTCTTTGTAGAGAGTTTCTTTGAGGCATGATGAGCCCCGTATTTTCTTACTTCAGGGGGTCTTAGATGGGTGACGAACACAGCAGACGCCGGACGTCTCCTCAGGGTGTGTTTCTGTTTATATTTAACCATTGAAAACAGTGCTATTATTGTCTGATCTTTGTTGCTATTATTGTGTTTATCGGAAACATCTCTCAGCAGGAAAACACCCTTTATGAACAATGCTTTCTGTGTGTCGTGTACCCTAACGGCGCTTTCCCCTGACTAAATGCATGGCTCACTTAAAAATGGATGCAAAAGGTGACTTTGAGAATTATATTTGCATAGCCTCGTTTTCTCCTAGATTGGCTCTGGAGGTCTGGTAGAGAGTGGATTGTGGTTTCACTTGTTCTGGGAGGCATGGAGCCATTCTTGGAGACAGATTTATATTACTTGCGTATACACAGTAAGCAAGGTATGGAAGAAGGGAGAAAATTGAAGTCTTTTCCAAATATCTTCTTTTTAATGGGGCTTTTTTTTTTTTTTTTTGGTATGCTGTAACATTTAAAAAGGCAGCAAAATTAGTAACTTTTTCCATGATGGCATTCGATTTTATTGAGCTAAGAGATCTTTTCTTAAACACAGGGTAAATACCTTCATGAGACAGGCAAAATATGTACAGTACATGCGAAAGAGTAAGTTTTTGGTTTTTATTAGGTTGAGGTTTTTATTAGCTCAAAGGACTATCTCAGAATCAGTGAGTTTTTAGATGACTTATTCTATTAAAACAACACGTACATTTTACATTTTATGTCTTTGCTTCAAAGTCGTTTCAGATTAATGACTAAATACTTTCTGGACATGAATTGGAGAACTTAGGGAGAGGAATATGATGCAAAAAGGAAGGTGATTCCTTATATTTGGTGCTACGTTTACAAAGTTCTTCATCTTATCTATGTAGTCTTTAATTTCTCATTAATGCCAGGAGAGACGTCTTATATTCGCTGATATTGCAGAATGCTCACAAGATAAGAGAACACCAAAAAAGAACCAGTATATTTAAAAATTCAAATACAGTAGGTGTCTTCTTTTGTAAGGAAATCATACAAAATGGGAGCAAACATCAGCCAATAAAATAAAAATTCATTGTTCCTTACGGAACTTTGGACAGTGGAATAAAATGTTGCTGTTAGTGGTTGATTTTAAACAAAGTAAGAGATGCCTTTTAAAAGCAGAGTTTAGGATTATATTTACATTTAGTTCATGACTTGTCTGAAAGTGAAATTGAAGAAACGAAATGGTCCTTATTAGTCTCTAAGATATAAGGGAGTTTGTCAGAAGTGTCATGTCTTAAAGAGGAAATAAATATGGTCTATAATTTTAATGACACCGGTGCTCGGAAACAACATGGATCACTTATAAGATAGAAATGCATCGCTTGCATGAAACCATTCATACCTGGTGAATATGATGCTCCGCTTTCGTACATGTGTTTAGACGTATCCCAGAAGGCACTTGATCTATAGTGTAGTGGGGGGAAAAAACCCATCAAATGTAAAGGTGATTCTACAATTTACCTTCAGCTAACATCTTTCAGAGCAAGCAGGTAGCTTTTGGTTGGTATGACTCTAAGAATCAGTTTTGATAATTGTTTTATAAAAGAGATATACTACCAAAACCATATCTTAACACAGATCTCCCATGAAAATACTGGGGACACGCTCCACTTGTAAAATGGAAGTAAATAAAAGATGACAGAGTAATTTTCGAGGGCCTTATATCTACAATACCAGTCACTATCTGAGGCGTGGCCTTGAGGTACCTCATTTCCAACAAGGAAAAACAGAATACTAACAAATTTCTGTGATTGAAGTTGGAAGAGGCTTGCGGGTTCAGAAATGAGGAAAAAAGAATGGCGGGAGTGTTTGGACGGTTATAAAACAATTCGCGGATGTAACCCTGTGTGTAGGTATTGAAACCTCATGGGTTTCAGATGATACGAGGACCCCGAGTTAGCTTGGAATAGAACCGGCGTTCACCATTGTTCCATCCCGCAAGTTTGATTTTTGGGCGCCCGTCTTTCAGTGGTGCAGATTGTATGCGGATTGGCAATAAGGCTCTAGGAAAACAGCCATGTGATTTTGATAATGTGTTATTTTTCTTGTCCTAGACCGATTCCAAGACATCAACTATTGAAATCTGCAGTGAGATATAACTTTCTAGGAACAACATAAGTTCATTCCCCTTCCAAAAAATTCCAATGATACATGATTTCAAAATTTGGTTAAGACCATTAATGTTGCCCTTTGGATTTTCGATTACAAAGGCGAGCGAAACAAAAGCCACCTTAACAACGATGTCCCGTCCAACCTCGTGCTCACCGCAGCCGTAATTTAGCAGGCGAGATTTTGCAATTTTTGGAAGAAGTGGTGCAGAGTGACTAAAGAGTTTTATTCTGCCTTTTTTTCCCTGAATGTCAACATCTGTGATGTGATATATTGCTGTCTGGGTGTGCGCACGGGTGGTTAATCCGTCAGTGGTGAGACGTGGAATTCCATGCCCTGTCCGGTTGCTGACGAGTTTAAGCATCGTCTCGGGGAGTTCGGAAGCGAAGCTGGGCTATCCGCCCCGCACCCACCCCGAAAGGTACCCGGGGCGGAGATTTCTTTTTTAGGACCAAAACAAACAACAAGAACAGAAAGAAAACACTTTAGTTAATTTGCTTTGAAATATTCACTAACATAGTGTGGCTGAGAAAAGTAAAATTGCCCATCACTGAGCTTAAAAGTTGGGTGATTATATATAATCGTACTGGGTTTTCAATGTTGACTGTAATCATGTAATCGTTAAAAATAATTTTTGTCCTGATCATGTTTCCCTTTTCTATAAATACTGGGAATATTTTTAAAAAATGTGTCTATCAAAAGACAATGTCAAGTTCTTTATACTCCCGCCTATTTTGAAAAAAATATACTGCTATTTCTTGTGTAATGAAACATAACTCCAATGATATGAGAGTAGAAACAAGGATTTAGATACTCCATTTTAAAAGATTTTATCAATTTTGAAACTACCCAGGAAAATATAAGGTACTGAAGTCATATCTACATAGAGCTATCTAGTTTCTTTGGCATTAAATTACTCAGTTTATTTCCTTGCTTTGAGTAATTTGCCCTTTAAAATTAACTCTTTTTTCACCTCATGTCAACTAATTCACTTCCTACACAAAGGAGTAAATGCTTCAAGTCGCTTATACATTATATTTTATTGAGGAAACAGTGACGTGTCCAATTTTCTGCTGTACTCTTGAACCTGCTTATGAGTAACACTACTAACAATTTTTTAAAAAAATGTAATTTCTTGATACATAAAGGGAGTATAAAGAACCCTCGTAATCAAGACATAACACATGTTTTCTGGATTTTCATTCAAGTGCTTCATTGTGTATCATTGTACCATGGATGTACATCAAGTCAGTGTATTATTTGAAGTGTTCTTTGACGTAAAGGTATCTAGAAAAAGCTTGTTCCATTTAGCGTTTCAAATTAGTGTAGTTATGACATTTTTGATATATAGGTAGTATTTTAAGCAGTTCACTGTTAAAATTTAGTGTTCCTATTTACTCAATAATTCCTCGTACTTCCAATAATGCCGGGTTTCTTAAACGTACATGGTATCTGGCTTTTTAAACATCACTGAGTTATAACGACGGGGAGCGAACTATTTTCCTGGTAGTGAGAAATGTCATGTAAGTTACAAACAGCTGTTGTGGAAGAATATTTCAAATTAAAACTTCTCTTTGTGAAAATTATCCCTATAGAATAACTTTATAATTCCTGTCCCACTTCATCCTGATAAACTAAGTATGAGAAGCTTAGTTTTAATTGCTCCGAGGTGCTGAGGTGAACTAATAGTATGAATTTCCAAAATCCAGTCTCGACTTAATTGTGAATAAAATGCCACCCAAGAAAATGAACGAGAGC